AACAAAATAAGACTAACTAGATTCTCAGATATACAGGGGCATCCAATTGTTAGCTTGTACAATGCCCAGTTCCAGACCCCCTCCCTAGAATGCCTACAAATCTCTAACCATTGTCTTAAACCTGTAATCATGCAGGTCCCAGGAAAAGTAAAGCCTCACATGCCTGAGACTACCCCAAAGACAATCAACTCATCAAGCTACATCACCCTTTAAGCCATGAGGAATGCCTCCAAAGCTACAAGTTAGGAATAAGATAATAATCAACCAGACCCCAGAGTAGAACACTATACCTAAAACTGACCTCCATTTTTTTGTGAATGAGCCAGTCTAATCCACCACTTCAGACCGGGTTCTTTTAGTGTTCCTCAAACTGAAGCCTTTCTCCTATCTTCTCTTACTTTCCATTATTAATAGACCAACTTGATCTTTGTCAAAGCTGTACTCCCCTTTATTTTCTCTTACTTTCCAACTAAAGCTTTTGCCTATAAATTCAAACTGCTGCTTTAGTTTTAATTTCCATTATCAATAAAGCAGGGGCCCATGCTAGCCAGTGACAGTCCCAGCAACTCAGGAGCAACAGGATTACTTAGCCCAAAACTTTGAAGCCAGCCATCTCAAAATAAACACAAACCTCACTCACTGTATTTAGTCTTTTGCCACAGCTGTTACCTTCCCTGAAAGGGAGTAGTTTCACTTCCAGCTATCCTACCCTTCCTCTGTAATAGCTGATTTACACCTCTTTGTAAGTCACAGCTCTCCAAACACCATAATTTTGTTCACTTATATCCACCTAAAATCCCTCTGATTCCCTCTTACAGAAACCTATTTTTCAAGACAGTAGAATACTAATTCAGAGCACAGGTTCTGAGCCAGAAGATCTGGATTTGAATCCTGGCTCTGATATCTAGTAGCTACTGATTTTGAAACAAGTTTGGTGCTTCACTCTATCTGTAAAATAGGGATAGGAGCAGCACCTGTCCTGTGGGGTTGTTACTAAAATCTGCTAATGTGTGGAAAAAATTGAGACCATTTCTTGATATTTATAGCAAGAGTCACCTAGACTGGTGAGTCCAGTCTAGGACTAACTGGGGAGTCCAAGATAGGCCTGTCCCATTTAACTTCTTAAAATAAAATAAAAAACCTTGAGGGGCTGGGGAGACGGCTCAGTAGAATAAACGCTTGCCTGGCAAGTGCAAGGGCCTGAGCTCAATCCCCGGTTCCACCAAAAAAAAAAAAAAAATTGAGAATATATACCTTGTTTTTCTTTTTTGTGCCACTAGGGACTCAACCCAGTACCCTATGCATGCTCAGCAAGCACTTGTGGTTATACCACACCCCTAGCTCAAATAGATGTATTTTTCTGGAAAGGGAGTACACAGCTTTCAAAAGGGTACATTAACAGAAGTAAGGGGTGCTTGTTAAGAAAGATTGCTTGGGATAGACTGTGAACCGAAATCCCAGGCCACAGGCAATGGGTGGAGGGACTCTTGTTCTGCATTAAGAATAAAAGCACACAACTCAATGAGAAGAAAGAGGTGTACTAACAGTGTTTGGACAGGATATCCTGTCTGCTTCTTGTACTACGGATAACCACTAAGAAGATAACAATGTACAGTGTATTGACTATCAAAACTGTCCTATTAATCAGCTGTGAAACTGTCTCATTCATATTTATTTCTCAATAAAAAATAAATACATATAAAAAAAGAATAAAAGCACACTGCTTCTCAACTCTGGCGTGGTTCTCTGTGTGAATGGGCACCTTCTTGCATGAGTATGGATTAAAGTCTTGATTTCACTGCCTCTGGAATCCAATATTTTGGGAGTTTGGACAAGTAAATTCATTTCTCACAATAAATAACCTGTCTAAGACCATAAAAGCTGCCAATTACACAGGTAAACCTAAGTGCAGTATAGTATTTTTTTTTTTTTTTTTTTGGTACTGGTGATCGAACTCAGAATTTTCTTATAAGTTTTTTAGTAATTTTTTTTGAGCAAGCAGTATATTTTATTAAACCATCACTTTGTGTCAGTGGCATGCTGAGGTCTCTAAGCATTAGGCAAAATGCTTGTCAGGTATGATAGCAGATGCCTACAATCCTAGTAATCAGCCTGGGCAAGAGTAAATTCAGAGCTAGCCTGAACTACATTATAAGACCCTATCTCAAAAAATAAAAAAAAAGCTTACCAATGGGCTAGATAACAATAAACATGACTTAATCAATGATATTTCTGTATACAAAATTGCAAAACAAAGATCAACAAATCTAAGCAGGAAGGAGCCTCAGAGAACACATGCATGACCTGACCTCCTTGTGATTCTTTACAGACTCCCAGTCACTGAGAAGTAAACAGCTGCGTTAGGATCAAAAATTAGGCTTCCTGCTCCAAATTCATTGGTTCTTTTACTCAACAAAATAATTAGACATGTATTGTTTTGTGGGGTTTTTTTGTCTGTGAGCACTAGAACTTTATTTTTCTTTTTAAAAATAATTTTATTGAGAAATAATTAGCAATCAGTCTCAAAACTGATTACTAGCAGTTTCAATAATTAATACAGGGGCTGGTGAGATGGCTCAGTGGTCTAAAGCACCTACTTAGAACAAGCTTGGCAAAGCACGGGGACCACGGTTCAATCCCCCAGCACCACATGCCAGCCAGCCCCGCCCCCTGGTGGGCTGAGCTGGCCACACATACACACACACACACACACACACACACACACACAAAAATAAATAAAATTTAAAAAAAAATAATTAATACATTGCACATTGTTGTCTTAGTCATAGTTTATATTGTAAGTCAGCCATCAATCTTATGGAAAGAATTTTTCCCCCCGATGGCTGATTTTAGGATTTTATCTTTTCCTTTGATTTTCAGCAGCTGTACTGTAATATGACTAAGTCTACCTTGATTGAAACTCTTGCAGCTTCTTGGATCTCATGTTATTCTATTTGCTTTTCCCTTCCCTCCTTCCCTCCCCTCTCCCTCCTCTCTCTCTCTCTCTCCCTCCCCCTCCTCTCTCTTCTCTCTTCTCTCTTCTCTCTTCTCTCTTCTCTCTTCTCTCTTCTCCTCTCTCTCTCTCTCTCTAATTCTTTTAGCTGTTGTCCTAACCCTAGTGTAATGGGCCTCATTAGCTTTGGAAAACTCTTAGTCATGCATTTTCAGATACTACTTCTGTCTCCTTCTTTCTGGAAGGCCAGTTACATGTGGGTTAGACATGTAAGACATGTGCAAGGCACATGTCACTGTGTAGACACTGTATTGTTAAAGGTCCAAAATAGACGCTTCCTTTTAAAAATAAATAAATAAAAGTGAAAACCATTAAAAGAAATCCACTTCTGGAAATCAGTTTTTCTTCTTTCTTCAGAAAGTCCAAGGGGTAACTACTAAGCAAATGTAGGAACCCATGAACCCTGTGCTTTTCGTTAAGCAACAAAATCAAATATTTGTTTCCTGCCCCATAATGTAACCATTAACTTTTGTTAAAAATACAATATTTATTCTATTCATATAAAAGCTTGGATAGGAGTTATTTGAGTGTTTGAGTTGTCACTGCCAACCATCATACCCATAAGGACCCTGCATGGAGAGACTGAAGCACGCATGCAACATCTCCATTTAGGATCAGCAGTCCAACCTTGTCCCTTGTGACTCTAAAACGCATGTGCTACCGGCAAACTTCATTCATCATTGCTTCCCCCAAATGCAAAGCATTCCCACAGGTGTTTCTGTATGCACTTATTAAATTCTAAATGGCCATCTCTTAAATATATATAAAAGTTTACAGAAGTATGGCTCACAGAATTCTGGTTTTCACAGTGGAACTCCTTGATTGTCGCCCCAGTCATTCTTATCTGCCCCAAACCTGCTCTTTCATGGTGTCTGCGTGGACAATTTCCCTTCAACAGGGCCTGAAAGTCCCCTGATTTTTTATATCCCTCACCTTCTGCTTTGCTCACCCTCCCTCCAGCCCATACTTCCAAGGTCTGGGAGTAGTGAATTCCATGCCCCAGCCATGGCCAGAAGTTCCAGCAGGATTCAGACAAACAGAATGATTTCTGCACTGGGCTGTCATATGGTACAACTGAACCAGCTACATGTACAGAACCACCAAGATCTCAGAACAGCATTATATTGGCAACCCACTTGGGTGCCCTTCTGTCCCTCACTTGGACAGAAGCTTTCTTTCCCCCAATAAATATATGCTGTTCTTAATCTCCATTGTTCCTAAAATTCATTCTTTGGTTTTAGAGAACTCATCCCAGGTATCTTTCAGGTTGGGAGTTTCATTAATCCGTATCATTTGGAGGTCTTCCACAAAGATTGGCCAAAGGTAAGAGTTTGCTTTTGTTTCACAGACTGTGGATTGGGACTTGATTCGGTAACAAATTTTTATGTTTTAAATTTTGATATGCCTTTGCTCTTTACTTATAATTGCCTATGCTTTGTTTTTTATATAGTTCTGTTAAAATATGATAAATCTAACTTAAAATATGGGAAGGTTATGAGGTTATGATTTTATTTATTTATTTTGTCTTTTTGAAACAGGGTTTCACTAAGCAGTTCAGGCTGGCCTTGAGCTCACTTTGTAGACCACGCTGGTCTCGAACTCACAACTATCCTCCTACCTCAGCCTCCCAAGTGCAGGGATTATAGCTGACTGGCCAAGATTATGATATTTCTCTAATGGAACATTCTATTACTGTTGTGTTACCATAGTTCTGTCCCACCTCATGTGAAAGTTCCCATGTTTTCCACTTTAGACTTGCCTCACCTCATGGTTTTGTTCTATAAAATCCCCTAGAAAAGGCAGGGTCCTTGGCAACCCCTGCAGGTCCCCTTCTGTCCCTATCTCAGAAAGAAGCTTTCTTTTCCCCAGTAAATATATTCTACTCTTAAAAACAAAACAAAAAAGATTATTCTAAGGAGTTTGCTACATATCACTCAAAACATGAGTGCAGTACCTAGATTAATACATTCAATTAATAAATACTCACCACAGCTATTACAGGAATAAGCACTCCCAAGTTTCCTGCACTGCTAGAAGCCTAGAAAAGAACAGAATTGATGTCACTGATGAGCATATGGCTTTTATTCTTTTTCTTTGAGACAGGATCTTGCCATGTAGCCCAGGCTTGCCTGGAACCCACAGCAATCCTTCTGCCTCAGCCCCCATGTTTCTTTTATTTTTTTAAGTGTTATATAAATCTGGAATTACACAATATAAAAAAAAGATATATGTACAAAGAAAAGTATGAAGATGCCCACCTAGTATATTTTCCTTCTTTTTCTCTGGTGCTGGGGATTGAACCCAGGCTCTCATCCATGCTAGGCAAGTGCTCTACCACTGAGTTACACCCCTAGATCTAGCATAATGCTAATACCAAAAACTGGAATCAATTTAAAAATCAAATATAAAAATAACTTATTGCATAAGTCATCATACTTCTGCATATGATACAGCCATTGAGAAGACAATTTTCTGAAAAATACAGTCACCTTGAAAAAGCCCCTATAGCAAATATTAAATCATGATTTAAGAGATGCTATGATTCAAACTCAATTAAGTAATATGCATATGTATAAAAAGTCAGGGAGGAAATGTATTGAGATGCATTAGTATTTTTATCTGAGTAAAAGGATTATGGTTGCTTTTAATTATTTACAGGTTTAGTCGTTTTCCACAAATACATGTAAATTCATCCCAAGTTAGGGAAAAGTTAGGCGCTACTTAACTAAATAAGTGGCTAGACACAAAAATATTGCTAAACTACAACAGATATTAATTTGTGAAAACTCTGGAAGCATGCATAAGCACCTTGAATTTAGTGTCTGTATCTATAATAGAGGCTGCAACAGAGGGTGCTGTGTCCCTTTCCTCAGGGCTTCTTGTGCATTAACTGCCAATGAAGAGACTCAGAGTAGCTTGCAAAAGCATAGTCACTTAGAGGCAGGGGCAGAATTGTAAACTGGGTTTTCTGGAGCCCTCCAGTGATAGCTCTGTTCAATCCACTCTGAGAAACAATGGCTGCATGATAAAGTGAAATCACCCAGGTGTCTCAGTTTAATTTATCAACAGAGCTCCTGGAAGACAAGGAGCTCTAGACTTTCCTTATTCTTTTTTTTTTAGACTCTCCTTATTCTGAGAGGTCCTAGCTCAGCAGGAAAACCCCAGCAACTGCTCAGTACTTAAACAGAAAGATGTAGCAAGAGGAGGTAGATGGAAGCAGCCTCAGGTCCCACAAGACAACTTTTGGGGTTCTGGGGCCCAACCCCTACAGAAGGGAAGGCGCCCCACAGATCACCCTCCACCTTCTTGAGAGCTTAGTACATCACTTTATCACTGGCACATCCTTTGCACCCTGATGCCTAAGGCCCTGCTATAAGCAGGAGTATGGATACCTTCTATCTTTTGCACTAGAATGGCTCCATTTTGGAAGACTTGAGAAAGTTATCACCAAATCACTGTTTGTGGACTCAGCAGTATAAGGCTGTACTAGGTCCAAGGGACTTGGGATCCCTTTTTGCATGCACTACTGCCTCTTGGCCAAAATTTTCCCATGGAGGATTGCTTCATGCAGCTGGGAACTCCTCAGAGGAGCGTTCTTGACCAGCCTAGTCTACTACCCCTTCCATACTGCCTTATTCTATTTTACCAGGAAACTCCACAAGCAGGATTCTATCTAACTCACATTTCTGAAACTCCCTCAGCTGGAAGAGAGCTGGAACTATAAATCTAGGTCAAATTCCAACCACTACTGTTCCTATCAACAGTTTCAAAGCACAGTCATACCAGTTCATTCATGTACTGGCTTTGGGTACTTTTAGCTACCACAGTTGTGTTACGTTGTTGCAAAAGAAACTCCTTTAGGCCTACACAGCCTGGCCCTTTATAGAAATGGTGGTGAGCTATGATTGTACCTCATATGTGGTATTAAGTAACTATCTGAGGAAGGGGAGTAAGAGAAAACAACATAAGAAGATGAATGTGGAGATGTGGTAAAGTGCCTGATTCCCACACTTGGGTAAGAGACCTACACTCCTCTTTCTTAACCCATTCATCCCACACAGAAGACATGAGGTTTTATTTGTCTTTGAGGACCTGCCTTCCTTGAACAGTCTGAGACTGGATTACATCTGGTCCTTTTCGAGTCACTATGTTCTGATTATATACCCCTAAAAGTCTTACTAGGGCTAGTCATAACCCTTCCTCTCATCTCCCAGTTCCCAAGGATGAGAGAAGAGAAAAGGGGTCCAGGAGACAGCCCATGCTAGGCTGCTGTCATGGCATCACCTAGGTTGGCAGAGAGGGCAGCCAGGAGCAAAATGCAACCTGGAAAGGAAGCTGTCCATCCCAGAAACAGAATCCATCCTCTTTTTTCTTGCAGTCTCCAGATACTATCAAACAAAAGTGTCACATTAAAACCAGGACAGTGCCTCAAGTATTCAGCTCTGGTCACAAGAGAAAGAGGTACTAACAGAAATAGAGCCCACTGCCTCCTCCTTCCTACCTTCAGGGCGGGCCCCTTCTCACTTGCCCTCTCGCTGGCTCGCTTCCCCTCCAGTCCCAGCTGCACAAACAATTCCAGCAAGTTCATGAGCAGTTCATCCACAAGATGCTCCTCCTGGATGTTAGCTGCGATGTTGGCCAGGGCATTAATCACTGCCAGGGAGCAGTGCCTGATGAAGAAGGAGCAAAGTAACAATCACTGCCAGGCTCTCAAATGGGTCCAGGGGAAGGTGCTGCAGGAGTAAAGCAAGTGGACTCTAGATGTGCCCAGCTATCTTATCACACTGCTCTCAGTGCTGCCTGTGAACCAAAGAACTCTCAAGGGTGAAGAACATGCCATTTACATGACAAATGACCCCTAAAAGAAAGTGAACTGTTACAAAAATGACTACAGTCCTTTCTCCTGAGGTGCAGTGAGGGCCTTCAGGGGTCTCAATTTCAGGAATCTGTACACTGGGGATGTATGAAGGGTTCAAGATATTTCCCTCTGAATGGCAAGGGTCTATTGCACAGCAGAACACAGAAATACTCATCCCGAGGCATTTTCTTCTTGGGCCCTACTTTCCCTCTCAAATCAAGAAGTGCCTTACTTCATTTATAATTCATAAAAGTTTCACCTGATGATCAACATCTCCCCAGTGCCTTTGCCAGGTGATATTAGTATTAACTCACATAGAATACTTAAGAAGTACTCCAGGTTCTGGGAACCAACTGCCTCAGGATTATAATGTACACCAAGTAAAGCCAGAAATAAAGCTGACATTGTCTCTGCAGCCAGATACTGTGAACCAGCAAAGCTCACTTGGCTTCTGAGGTCCTAGAAGTAGCCAGACTGTCACTTCCTTGTCGCATAACCCTGAATGAACTACTTAAGTCTAAGCCTTAGTTTCTTCCTAAGAAAAATAAGGATGGTAATTCCCTCTCCATAGGCAGAAGTTTAAATAGCATATAAAGCACTAAGCATACTGCTTAATCCCAGAAATCACAGAGAATATGGTAGCCACAACAAAAAAGGCACTCCCTTCCCAGTTAACTAGGCACCTGGTAGGTCAAGGGCAAACAAAGGTCAGGAAATACTTTCACTGGTGAGGAAGAGGACAATCTTTTTTGATGGTAATAAGAGACAGTATCTGTGAAAGAAGAGAATTTGAGTCAGAAATCTGAAGAACTAGTAGGATGGAGACTAGAAGGTTCTGTACACAGCAAAGGTAAAGAATAGCTGGCCAAACAGCTCAGCAGATTAAAGCACCTGCAAGCAGGCACAGGGCCAAAGGGTTCAATCCCTGGGCCTGCAGTGCCAGCCCTGACCTGGGGGCACACTGAGACAGCAATTGAGACTGAGCATGGTGGCTCGTGCTTATAATCCCAGCTCTTGGGAGGTTGTACACAGGCGGATCACTCTGAGTCTGATCTAGTAGTGAGACCCTGAACACCTTGTAGACCCTTCAAAAAAAAAAAGAGTAGCAAGATGGATATAAGGGTCACAGAAGGAAGCCAGCATAAGCAAAGACAAAGAGCAGGAGGTGCCAGGTGCTCTGACAATTTTCAGAGCAAGAAAGCAATGTGGGAGAAAAGGTGTTCTGACCTAAGCATCAGCTCTTATCACAGAAATCAGGACACATGGAAGGGAGAGGTAAGCAGTCCTTATACTGCTGAAACAGGCTGGGCTCATGACAGTGGCAGTGAGAAGCCAATGAAGTATAATCATCCCCCACTGGTTCTAAGATCCCTATGGATCCTAAAATCTAAGGATACCCAAATCCCTTATTATTTCCATACAGCCTAGGAACAACCCCTGGATACTTTAAATCATCTTGGATTACCTATAATACCTAGTACAATGGATATGCTATGCAAATACCTGTTATAATGTATTGTTTAGGGAATAATGACATGAAAAAGTTTATACATGTTCAGTACAGGTGGGGAGTTTTTCCCAAGTATTTTGCTTGGTGGGTAGTCATAACCCTGCTCTCCTTACAGCTAAACCAACTTGGAGAGACTCTCAGAGAAAGGCCTGGATTTAACAGTCAAGCAGAGAAAAGCTCAGTGGCAGAGAACAGTAACACAAACCAAGAAGCTTTTTCCCTGTCAACTGCTTTTGTCTGACTTCCCTTCCTGTCTTCTCATTCACTGACCTGACAAATAATTGTGAGATCCTCTAAACATGGATGCATCCCTTCCTCTCGGCATTTCCAGACAAGAACAAGGAACAAAGAAACATCTCTTAGCTGCCCGGAAAAACTGGCTGGACTTCACATAAATATAGTATGTTCAAGGATATAAAAAGTTTATTTCTTTAGCCCTTCCAAATCCTACTTCTCTTAACCTAAACTAAGAAAGCATCAAAGACTCTTTCAGACACATATGTTATCTAATGCAGCACATACTGCTGGAAAAACTAGAAAGCTGCCTAACATTCCAGCCTGGGGCCAGTTAGATAAATCTTGGTAGAGTTACACAATGAGACAGCATGTAGCCACTACAAGTGTCACTCAGGGAACCACTCATGACACAGTTCAAGGGTCACTCCACACAGGCAGGTCTCTTGGGTATGCAGTGAGAGTCTGTTCAGAAAAGGGAGAAGTGGGAACGGGCCACATGCATAGAGATATCCAGTGGTGAGTTCCCTGAGGTAGCCATATATGAGTTTTCATTTAAGGAAAGTTTAGTGCAAAGATAGAATCCCAAAGGGAACTGTCAGGATCCAAAATGACAATGAGATACAGAAAATTACCTGTAGCCATGGTCTTTGTAATCTTTGGTAGCTGAATACACCACTGAGCTGGCCTTCACACTAATCTGCTGGAAGAGATTCCACACCTCCTGATAAATGTATTGCTGGAAGAGAGCAAGGACACCATCACCACACCATGATTCCTTCACCAAGCCCCTTCCAGAACACAAAGAAGGCACCTCTTGGGGCTGGAGAGATGGCTCAGTGGTCTAAAGCACCTACTTGGAACAAGCTTGGCAAAGCACAGGGACCACGGTTCAATCCCCCAGCACCACATGCCAG